CAAATTTCATAGATTTATTCCTCTTCTCCAATGCTCGAATCTGAAAAACAAGATTGAATAAACCTAAGAACTTTGACAGAGAAAATCATAGTGCTGTCATCAAGTTTTCAACGGTACCTGGTTTGGAGATACGTAGAATGGGTTCTCGTAAAGCGTTGGACCTCCAAAGCTGCCTCCAAAAATCTTAATTGGATTTAAACAAAACCTTGGACCAACCTGTCACGTAACAACTTAATCAGGACTAGCACATTACTGTTAGAAGTTGAATACACAAATGGTCATGGACAGACCTCGACAAGGGTCATTTTGTCCAGACCACCTCGTGCAATCTTGTCTGACTCATTATGAGGTACTGATATCTGCAATGTAAGATCAAACAGACCTTGACAAGTTAAACCAAAAGTTTCCAATCTGAAATAAAATGAGAGCAGTTGATCTCTGAGATGCTAATTTTCAACCGACCTGGTAATTACGGAACCATATATGGTCATCGACAATGGAGAAAACAAACACGTGGTCATGGTAAGGTTTCGACTTTCTGTGTTCCTTGGGAATTCCAAAAACCTGGATGAGAAAAGGCAAAGCTAATTAGAACGTCAAAAGTCCGAGATATAAACCAAATCAACCGGAGCTAGATAGGCTCACAGACAATACAAAAGAGAGAATGGAAAATGGGAATGACCTGAGTTAACATCTCCTTCAAAAGTCTCCAGTGCACATCTTTATCAAAATTGGACGAGAATGTCAAAAGAGGGCGCGATCCTTTCAGATGATTTCCAGTGAGTTTCAGCTCCTCCATTGTGTGAACTTCACCATATAGAAAATTAAAACCACACAACTCAGAGACGAACAATATACAAGTCGATCAAACCCATCAATAGCCAAAGTACGAGGAGCTGGAGACATTACCAGCATTAACCAAGAACTTAACAGAAGGTCCACTGGGAGACTTGACCATCCACAGGTAAAGATCTTTATGCTTCCTACACTGAAGACGAAAACAAATAAACACGTACCAACTTCAGTTTCTTGGAAACTCAAGAACACATTGATTTTGCAGTTCACTACTCCAGAGACTAAACAGTTACAAGTACAGATAGATCAAAGCGACTAAATTGAACCAGAAAAAGGGAGATTTCATCAGTTTTACAATTCATACGAAAGAGGTAAATCGAACTTGATTCTCAGAACAACACTTAATAAGATCAAACTATAGAATATCAATCGATTCTGGAGTTTAAGGTACCAAAAAGATTAAAAAATTTACCTCGAAAAACAAAGAGGAAGAAGAACCCTTAAGCTCAATAAGCTCATTAAGAGTAGCGCCTTTACTGCTCTTAGCTTCAACCTTACTATCCTTCTTACAATGAGGCAACAGTGACACCATGTTCAACATCAGATGCCGATACCTTCAAAACGAATCAAGAACAAAAAAAAAAAAAACAGATACACGATTAATTCTTCCTCAACGAGTAAACCTAAATCAAACCCAAAAAGCAAAATTTCACCTGTAACTGATCCGACGGGAACAAGTAACAAGAACCTTCTCTTTATTCCTGAATCCAGACACAGAAGCAGACACTTCCTTAGATTTCTCAGCATCTTCGGTCTTATCTTTCCAACCCAATAAAGTCCTCTTAGGTCTCTCAGGAGCAGATTCGTCCTTCTTCTCCGGCTTCGCCGTTACTGGCTCGCTGCGCTTTCTCTTCTTCCCCATTTTTTTCTCTGTCTTTTTAGTCAACCCCACCGGAGCAGAATCGTCCTTCTTAACCGGTTCCGCCGCTACTGTCTCGCTGTGCTTTCTCTTCTTCCCCATTTTTTTCTCTGTCTTTTTTGTCAACCCCATTTTTTTTCTCTATC